GTAGATTTATTTCAAAGGAAACTCTGTCTTATTGAATTTATCTTTGGATTCCATCTGAAGCCTGAACTGCCACTACCACTTCTTTCAGCAAAATCGAAGTCCTTAGTACAATCAATTTCAGTATGCCGATTTTATTTGAAGAGACCTGGTCATCCAATTCGCTCCATCCGACATGAACAATTCTGTAGTCAAAGCAACTTTATCACTTTAGACTTGACTTTTACTTTAGCCTCTCGGCTTTGAGAAGCCGTGGCCCAACAATGCTTTCTTAAAGCTTGTAATCTGTTCGACATAATAACCAATCTCAAGATGGATGATCCAAGGCCCTCTTACCAACTTGCTCCCGGTGACAATAGACACTACCTCATTTGGGTTGGAAACAATATAATTGTCCATTGTATGGACACACAAGGTCAAAACATGTGTGTCAGGCTTTCCAGTCAAGTATAGTTGATAATCCCATTTTCAAATATGTATTTGAATAGATTCTCCTTTGATCTTTATCAGTCTCTGGATTGGCTTCAAAGGATTCTCTCTTATGGATTTGGCTTCTATTTAAGACTTTTTGGAATATAGAATCTAACTACTCTCCTGTCATGACCCAAGGTAGATCCTAGGTGTAATATGGCGTATAGGATCCCAAGAGGCCCCATACAAGCCACTTAGCATACATAAACAAGATATAAGAAAATCGAAAGAGATAAAGAGAACATTTCAAATCACACAGTGTTATAAAAGTAATGCGGAAGTCTACAAAGTCTCATTTGCCATCTAATACATCAAGAGTGATCGGGACGTAACCCTGGCATCATGTACAATCTCTGATAAGGAAAAAACATAAATGAAATGAAACCGTCCTCGGATCCTAAGGACTCACCAAGTCTTTGAATGCTCTAAGTGTAGCTACTGGCCACGAGTGGAGGGAGAAAAGTCACCACGCCCAACATTAGGGAAAATGTAGGCAAGAGTATGTGTTAGTACAAATATGTATCAAGTATGCTTGCCATGCATAAACATATAAAAGTCAAGTAAAAAGGGACCTTTTCATGATAAGCAAAGACCAACTGAACATGTGATAAAAGAGTTAGAAAACATAAGTCGTAAAAACAAGGTCAATGCATGTCAACATCATTAAAACATTTGTGAGATGCTTCCTTAAGTAACCTTGACTCATTAGTGTGGGAGAATACCTTTAACCAACATGTAAGACCATGTGAGCTATCAACACGGAATTCAGCGTCTACCCCACACCGAAAAGAGGTGTTCTCACTTGCCAAGGTAAGAACCATGAACTTCTAGCTTACGTGGATCCACTAGCTAAAAGTCTTATCTAGACAAATCCTATGTTGGCACATAGTTTATGGGACATGGATAATCACCACTTGTCCACTCGGTGCTAAGCATAACTCCCATAGAATATTCATTATTCTTAACTTTCCTTAACATTCATAAGACATGGGTAATCGCCTCTAGTCTTTGCATCATAGGTCATTGGTGCTTGCCTCATCATTAGAATAGCTCCTTAACTTTGATTCATTTTAGATGAGAAGACCTTTCAACTTTAGAATCCTTTATGTGAGAAAAACCTTTCACATTCATGCTTTCATGTGTATATGAGGAATCCTTTCACAACACCAACAACAATATCAACATTGATACTTCACTCTCAAAGCATCCTTACAACATTTACATCAACTTCATAAGAACATGCATGATTTCATAAACTCATCATTCATAGTTCAAAACCCACATTATATCATCATAACTTGGAAAACACGGGGCATGCATGGGTTCATGGGGAATCATCTTAAAACATGGAATTTACTCAATTCATGCATAAATGATCATAATTCAATCAAATAAATCAATATACAAAGGAACCCATAACATAGAAGAAAACCCTAACTCAATTGGGGATTTTTAACTTTATAAATTGGAGAATTTAGGAACTCCATGGAGGAAAGGGCTCCATGGATGAAAACTATCATACCTTGATGCCAAAAGCTTGACTTCAATGGAGGAATTGGAGACTTGACTTGAAAACCCTAGCCTTCTTCTTCAACTTCTAGAGAGAAATATTTGGAGAGAAAGACTTGTTCTTCTTTTTAGGAATTGAGAGAATGATTTCAATTGGGGAAATTTGGGGGTAAAAACACTTATATATGCTTCAGGTGAAGGGTAAAATGACATAATATTAGGCTAGAATAATTAGGAAAAGACTCAAAAGCCCTCATAAAAATAACTGTCGACTCCCATTGACAGCACAACCTACGGTCCGTTGGTCAGACCACGAACCGTACTGGTTGGCCGTCGATCGAGTTCAGAGACTATGGTCTTTGGTCCTCGACTGATGGGACCCACCTACGGACCGTGGGTCTATTGACGGGCCGTGGGTCTCAACTTTTGATCCTTTTTTTTTTCTAAGTCAGGGACTCACCTACGAGACCTACCTACGACTCGTGCATTGGACGATGGACCGTTAACATTTTTGGAAAACTGGACTGGCCAACCACAGGCCTACTACAGTCCGTTGGTCAGTCCACGGACCGTCGGTACTGGCACCAGGTTCTGAAGAAAGCTGAAATTTTCACCCTTTTTGAATCCGAGGTGTTACTCCTCCAACCTTGGTTTTTGAGGATTCTAGTTTGATCTATACCCAAAAACCCACGTCTTATATTCAAAATTACTTTTTTTTAGCCGTCATGAATTCTTGCCGGGCTTTCATGAGGTATCTAATAAATCTGCTTCGTGTTGCTGGCGCACCTCTCCTAACTGTTGCCCATTTATCCTAGAATAATCTTTTAGGACTCACGGGGCATACCAATAAAAAGAAAAGCATAATTGGATTGGAATCGATGACTTAAGCCTCTTTCTTAAGGGCCTTTAAAGACCGGCCATTGTCGAACGAGGCACTTCGCTTCACTGTCCTTCAAGGAAGCAAGTTCTCACAGTAAATTCTCATCCCATAGGCACATCTTGACTATGACAAAAGGAGAGATAGGTCATGCGTACTAAAGGATGCAAAAATGGTTGAGTTAGAGAAACATGTGATCAATCTGGTATGGGAGACTTATTTAAGTTATTTGTTATGTTACCAGATGCTGGGGAACAACTGGTGAAGTTCGACTCTATAATGGGAGCTTTTATTTTCTTCCTCTTGCTTTGCGCATGTTTCTTCTGTCATTTATGAGCCTTTATGTTGGACCTCCTGTGCTTTCCTAGATCCTTTGTGAAGGGGCCAAGCTCATGTCATAGTGTGAGTTAGCTGAACTTTGCCACTAATTGGCTTAACTGTGCTATTGGCTCCAGAGGATCGAACCTAGTATGAGTTTGTTTGCTTTTGTTTATTCTTCTCTCCTCTTCAGACTAGGCTATATTCTCTTCTTGGGCCCACTATAGCATATTTGGGTTATTTGTGCAAAAGCCCACAAGTTTTGGCTCCCATTTTTCTGTCTGTTTTCTTTTTGGCCATTTTATTGTAAATTCAGTTCTTTAATTTGAGAAGAACTCCATGCCTGTCCAATTTGAAACTAAATTTGGCAGTTCACGTATCCACATGTCTCATACAGACTCTTTCAACCATTGCTCCTCTCAGCATGTTCACCTCATCTTCCTCCTTCCTTTGTAACTTTGATAGAATATCATAGTGAAGTGAGTTGACTATGAGTGGAAGGATGATTATTTTATCCACCACGAACAAAATCTAGCTAACATCTTCTTAGATCCAGTAATCGTTGCCTCATCAATCTCGACCATACCCCTAGCTTATTGTCAACATCTCTACATTGTGGGTGGAACACCTAAGATATAAAGTGAACTTACTAGTCTTGCCTTTATCTTCTCTTCTTCAAATCCTTTCCTACTGCACCCCTTACTTTTTCAGTTTACCATAAGTCTGCTCTTTCATTCTACTATCTAACCTTTCTCTACTCAGTTCGTCGTTTGTGGCAATTTGATTGAAAGTAGCTTCCTTCTAGCTTCTCTATCCTTCTCTGAGGGCATGTGCCGTTGATCCATCTATAGCAGACTCAAACCAACAGTCCTCTGTGAACCTCTCGATGTTCCTGCTAACAATGTCTAGACCATTGGGCTCTATTGTCTGCTTCATAGGCCCAATGCCCCTTGTTATTCTCATAATATAGAGGCTTTATCTTCATGTTAGAGTGTTTTCAACTCATGCGTATGTTCTAGCTTTCAGCATTGGGACATCACTAGAGACGTCTCCACAAATAACATTAGTTTAACCCTCTGAAAATCAGGATCCACATACCGGGTCACAGTGTATGTAAGAATAGATAACTGATTTAGGCTTGCACCAAAACATTTACTGTTTTCTCTGTATTTCTTTTCAATATTGGGTGGATAAGCTGTGGTTCTAGGATTCTATTATTTATTCTTTGAGATGTAATTTGGACTCCTTTTATTTTAATCCAGATAGGGAAGTATGTGGTTATAGTTTTGGGAAAGAATACATGTACCTCTTAGTCTGATCTTAAATTGATCTAGTTGATTTTCTACAGGGATTATGAGAATATTTGAATGATCATTGTATAATGTATTTGCGTTTGGTCAAAATATATTAAAATACCGGTGAGAAGATGTGAAAAGGGTGTAAAGATATCACATCAAGTTGAAAATAGTATAATGTTATCATATATTAAGAATATGTTGACTTTGTGTTTGTAGAAAAATAATTTTCGGGGACGGATGAATGATAAATTAGGTATAAAGGATGGGGAGGTGGAATATTTTCTTGATAACCTCCGAAAGGACGTCCTTTCAGCCTTATTGAATGTCTAACAAACTCTTTAACTTCTTTTGGCTTCTTGGACATTTCTTCATGTAATGGCTAGAATGTCTCTGTGAATGTTTAAAATAGGACTTCTTAATGCTTCTAATGAAAGTTCATGGGAAATTAGGTACTCTTTGTGCACCTGAATCCTTTTCAAATATTATAGAGTACCTTTTACAACACAAGTTCTTTTCACAACTTTCTGCAGACTATATTCTTTGGAGATTTGCACTCATCAGAAATCCGAAAGCTGGCTGAGCGTCTTATCAATTATGTTATTTCCAAGGTAAACATCTCAGTTACATGAATTAGGTGGTATCTAGAACCTTGATTATCTTTTTTTCTTCTTTTCTTTCCTCTATTGTTATAATTCAAACTCTATACTTTGTGACCGATGTTAAGGAAAATTATGCAACATATAGTGTTGGCACTTGGCATTGTTTCCATTTGATTTTACTTGTTAAGATCTTTTGGCCGCTTTAAATTGTTATATTGCTTGACATTGAATGGATGACTAAGTAAGCTGATGTGTGATGGTTACATTTTCCCCTTCTTGGAGCAATGCTGCGCCAAGTGAGTATGAGTACTCGGTGGAAAGAAACTAAAAAGATGGAAAGTGAGAGGAGTGAGGGGCCCCTTATTTAGAACTAGTTCATTGATGTTAAGGAAAATTATGCAACATATAGTGTTGGCACTTGGCATTGTTTCCATTTGATTTTACTTGTTAAGATCTTTTGGCCACTTTAAATTGTTATATTGCTTGACATTGAATGGATGACTAAGTAAGCTGATGTGTGATGGTTACATTTTCCCCTTCTTGGAGCAATGCTGAGCCAAGTGAGTATGAGTACTCTGTGGAAAGAAACTAAAAAGATGGAAAGTGAGAGGAGTGAGGGGCCCCTTATTTAGAACTAGTTCATTGACAGTTTCTGGACAACTTGGTGAAAGATGTGAGCTTCAGCCTTGTTCAGAGTATTAGCACCTCTCAATTCTTGCTTTGCAAAACCTCCATAGTTGATCCACAGGGTTCTTCTTGTCGATGAATTGGACAAAATATAGTGTATACATTTTTGTAGGTTCATGATCTATAAGACTGAGTAAGGAAGGGAGAACCTGCATGAAGATAGGGAAATTATTTTGTTGGGCTTGGACTTGCTATATATGATGAATTTTAATACCATGGGGTCTTCTAAGTTTAGTAGTTGAAGATCTCAATTTTTTCTGATGATTTAACATTCTCTCATATGTTTTTCATTTTATATGGGAAACTTTTCCTTTGTTAGAATAATCATTCTACAAAGTCCACATCTGGTTCCGATATGAGATGCCTACATGAATGTTCAGAAACGTTTCAGGGTAACCACATATCACTGCTGTCTGATTGCGAAATTTGAAATGCCAACAACATGATATTGAACGAATAAATTTCCCAAGTTCAAGAATTTGATGTCTTGCGCATCCCTTAATCCTTAACCTTTGGTGGATTGGGAAGTTCACTTGAAGGTTGAAATATATAGTGTATCTTTCTCTCCAGGCAAAATGCAAGAATGGGAATAAATGGGTCTGAATCCAAACAGGTGGTAGCATTTACGTTATTTACATACCTTAAATGCCCGCATCTTCTGATCGTATTATTTCTTGATTTCTTCAACCCCGTCTGTCATGTTTTCTGCATTCATTATCCCATCACTACCATACAGTCCCAAAACATCCTTTTCCTTAATCCCTATCTTTCTTGCTATCTACAGACCTAACATAGTTTCAATAAGAATAGTTACTGGAGCATAGGGACATATGGATATGGATGTGTCAATACTAGATCTGGTTTTTGGTTGAAATTTGAATTGTTTCAAACTGTTGGTTTGATCAGATTGGATATGTCTTGTCATCGTGATCTTTCACTGAGAAGTGATTGCAGTAGTTCTGAATCACTTCCACAATGATCTAGAGCATTTCAAACTCTGCTTGAGACTCATAGCTCCATGTGTATCATTTGCTAAATTTGAAGTCTACATTCATGTTGCCCTCTATGCATGTAAACTTACACTAGTATGGTCAATGAAGTCATTCTCACATTCATGTTTCTCTTTAGTGGTTGTATTGGAAGTGTTTTAGTATACTGTTCACTGATAACTACTTACAGGGAACTTTTCTTCCATTGGTTGTTCCACCTACGCTGTATCAAGCAGGCCTGTGGTCAACGTGGCTAGCTGTTCTTTGCTTTTTAAAGGTATCCACTGTTGTGTATTCTAAGCTATTGATATTGGGATTGAGTGTCTAACCTTGGATAAAATCTACATATATACAGATGTTTCAAGCTTTAGCTAGGGATCGACTTGAACGATTGAATGCCTCTCCTTCAGCTACTCCCTGGTCATATTTCCGGGTGTATTCTGCCTTATTGCTGGTTCTCTCAGCCAACTTACTCTGGTACTTCCTAGACCTAAGTCTGTTTGTTGTGCATTACATTATGCAGAGGTCATTCTTATTTGAATATTGTATTTAGTTTTAAGGATGTAGAAGGTATTGTACGTGTGTTGTCTTTTGTATTTTCGAACTATTGCTGTTTTCGCAGCAATTGTGTCTCCATAGATACAAGTCTGAAGCTTTAATCCGTATTACCCTTCTATGCTTTGGGCAAATTTCACATGGGAGGTCTCTAGAATTAACACGGTCTATGCATGTCATATTGCTCACTATAACAGCAGCATAAAATCGAGTTCACCAACACCCAAAACTGATGGGACGGATATAAGAAGATGTGCGTGGAATTTCATGATAGCGAGGACCTCATGTCTGAAAGATAGAACAGAAATACTTATCAGAACAGGGGGAAACATAGGAAGAGTGTTTCTTCTATAAAATTACCTAGAAATATGGAAGTTCAGATATTACGTCCTAGACCAAAAATCAATGGACACATCAGTCCAGATATAAGAAAAACAACCTAACTTTGACCTTATTTGGATGGAAGTAGCAATTACAAAAACAGTGAGAAAGGAATTGAATCCAAAGAGACTTAATTTGTTCCTTAATAAAGAAAATTTACCATTCACTTCATTCATGCAAGTACTCTGCAATGTAGATTTTGCTAAACAAAGGGAGTAACCACAAAAGGGAAAATCAGTGATCTGTTTAGGAGTTTTTGGTCATTAAAGTCTTCCTTTCACATCTTCTGATTATACCTTTCTTGGCCTTTCGGCTAAGATCAAGTGTAGTAGTTCTTCACATCTTCTGATTTTCCACCCATTCAAGTCTAAACAATAACCATTTATCATTTAAATTCACTTACCTAGTTAAATAAGCACATGCCTGGCCTCTTCTTCTTAGATTTTAAGAATTCAATTATTCTCCTGCTGTTTTCATCATAGTTTGTCTTTTTTCCATCACTTTCTGGCCATTTTAGCCATTGAGTAGTGCCAGCAGCAACAAACCGAAAAAAGTATTTATACAAATAATATTTAAGAAAATATTAAATAAACTGATTATTGGTATTAGTCGAGGTGCGCACAAGCTAGCTCGAACACCACGGTTTATCAAAAAAAAAAAGAAGAAACTTTGCTTCATCGCTTTAAGCAATGAATGGCTCACTTTTCACCACATTGGTTTAACTTAAGCTACCTGGTTGGGATAATAGTGAATATGTCCCTGGGTGTTCGATTCCAGACTTTTGTGGTATTAATGTTCATTGAGGGGGCCAAAAATAATATTCTCCGAATGGAGCTAGTTGGATTACAAGGTTTATCTCGTTACTGTGGCCGACTGCTGTCAGCTTTGGTGTAGCTGTAGTATCCGCCCCAGATTCATTCAAGCAAAACATGGTTCTTTTATTCGAGCATACGGAGGAATATTCTTAGTTCTTACTTGATTCAGTCGTGCAGCTCCTTCTACAACCTCTTGTAATGTTCTCAAATAATCAGACTCAATCAACTCAATAAAACAGTGCCAGCCAAAATGGAATAACAATTCCCATCAACAGACTTAATGAGTATTCAGCTAAAACAATCCAACAATGATTCAAATTAGAATGAAAACTGATGGAACAGTAACTAAAATAGGAATCATCTCCAGATTTGCTAAGTCCTTCAATACTCTCACGCCAAGAGAATCACATTGGCATACCTGAAAAAGATTAAACTCAATTTCAGGACCTCAATTAGGAAACATCCATTGTGATTCAATCACAAGAAGACCTGAAATGAGAAAAAGGAAGAAGATAGATGGAAGAGGGAAGAAGGATTTAGGAGAGAAAAGGGCAGAGAGCACGAGAGAGATGATCATACCAATTTCATCCTTCCAACATCGAAAGGATTTGCTTATATATGTTGCCATGACAACCGTCCCTCCTCTTTAATGTGAGTCGTCAATTTCCAGTAACAACGACAACAACAACAACATACCAGTGTAGTCCACACAGTGAGGTCTGGCGAGGGTAGAGTGTATGTAGACCTTACCTCTACTTCAGAGGTGAGGAAGAAAGGTTGTTTCCGATTGACCCCCGGCTCAAGGCAAAAACAATGTAGAAAAGACATAATGAAAGTACAATAGAAAATAGATAGTAACAAAACAACAGATAGGAACATAATAGTACTATAACAAAATAATACTACAAACAAACTACATGAAATAATAGATAGTCACAGAAATCGAAGAGCAAGAAAGTACAAGAGTAGTTGTACGACTACTGGTAAGGGGAACAAGGCAAAGCACTCCAACCTACTAGTATGGACACAGTCCTACCTACTAACCTTTTACCCTAATTCGTGGCCTTCACACCTTCCTCTCTAAGGTCTAGTCTAATCACCTCTTCCCAGTGCTTCTTTGGTCTACCTCTTCTGAATCCATCCATAACCAACCTCTCACACCTCCACACTTGGGCATCCGTTCATCTCCTCATCACATCCCCAAACCAAACCATCTCAACCTTCGCTTCCCGTTTAAATAAGCTCGCATTACTTTTTCTCAAAAAAATAAAAATAAAGCTCGCATTACCGTTAATCCTGTACCTAATGACTCACCCACATGCCTTGTTTAGCTAGCAAATGCTTAGTCATTTCATTCTACCCTCCTTCAAAACATTCTTGCCCTCAAGGTTGTTGTTGAAGGCTTGGAGCTGAGCTATGGATTCAGGGAACTGGGCTTAATGAAGGACCAATCCTCCCTTGTGGCCTCTTCAGGTGCATGGTTCTCCCACTGTATTAAAACCTTAACTAGTGCATTATTCTCCTTGACCATGCGCCTTTGTAATATGCCGATGAGCTTAACTAACATCTGGTCATCATCTCCCAGCAAGGGTAGCTGCTGCTGTGGGGTGACATTTGGTCCAATCCTCTTCTTGAGCAGTGAGACATGGAACAGAAGATGCATTATAGATATACTAGGTAGCAGTGTTATCAAAGGCGAAACGCAAAAAAGCTCTAAGGTCCGTTGGGGGCTTTAAGCGCAAAGCACAAATAAAGAGTGGGCTTTAATGAAAAAAGGTGCAAACGGAGAAAAAAATACAAATATATATGTTTTAGTCCAAGACTAATAATTATAAACATGAATGACAAATACATGACCAAAGAAATTGAATTTTTTTTTTATGATAAAGTGAAATATCAATTGTTTAGTGTCACCTCTTCAGAAGAGGCTCATTGGCAAGGAAAAGGTTGCCTTAGAACCTTGAGGATGACACTGAAGCGCACATAAAGCGAGGCAAAGCACTCAACACATTTTGAGCCCCGCTTCAGGGCTTAAGCACGCTTAAAGTGTGCCTTTGACTACACTGCTAGGTAGTTTGAGCTTGTAAGTAACAGTTCCTATTTTTGTTCCACCAGATAAGGACCGTAGTAATCAGTGAGAGAGGCTTTTGTGTGTTGGAGCTCTTGGAAAGTAGGGAAGTCCATGAAAGAGATCTGGTCATTGGTTCCTGCCCGTATATTGTGGTGCTTATGGACAGAGGGGAACAAACGGTATTTTGATGGCATCCCAACTTCCATCTCTACGGTTAAGACTATCTGCTTTGTTAGCCTTTTTACTTGGGTCAACCTTTCCTCTGTAATGACTATTGATTCTTTCCTAGAATTTATCAGTTCCATAGATCTCTGTTAGATAACTTTTTTTTTTTTTGGTCTTCATGGGGCTGATATTTTGTTTCTTTTGTAATCCTTGCATCTACTTGATGCGTTTGCTTATGAGATCCTACTTATTCCATCAAAAGAAGTAGTTGTTTTGAGCATACAGCTTAACTGCGGAAATTGTGATAATAGGTCATTTGTATAAACATGAACCTATCATGGCAAATATAAGATATCTGAGAAACTTATCATAAAAGATAGATAGAGGACAACTTGGAGAACATCTAGCCACTCTGAACGAGCTATGCGAAGTATTCTATACAGACAAAGGAATATTAAATCACTGTCAGCATTGCGTTAAAAAGAAAGAAAAATCAAAAGAAGATGACGACATGGAATTCAAAATTATTTTGTAAAAATAAGACGCATTTAAAAGAACATTTTACATCAAGAATTCATCCTTGACGTAAAGAAGACGTCGAGAGACTCACTATTAAAAGAAGAAACCACATTTCAGAATCTAATTTTTAGTATGAAAGCTGAGAAGATGAAATATACATCAAGTGAAGAATTGCCTTACAAGTGTAAAACTGGAATCTTCTCAGAAGAAAGATTAGTTGTGCTAGAATTCTCCATTTGAGAAAGTGAGTAATCTAGTTTCTATGTTAGGATAGAAAAATGAAGGAGAACACAACTTGAGCTACTTGTATAAGTATTTTGTTGTATGGCTTCTCTAATATGTTTTAAATATTTTATATTGTTCTACGACGTGGTGGATAGAAAACCCAGTTTCTTGTTACCCTTCGGGTTGGTCCAGTGGTTTGGGCTTGGGACTTCCATGTTGGAGGTCTCGAGTTCGAAACCCCTTGCCAGCGAAAACAAGGGGTTTGTCTTGTCTTCTGGGTCGAGCTTGTCGCACCGGCTTGCCTAGTGCGGGTTACCTCTCCTATGTGGTTTGTGAGCTATTGCATAGGAGCGGGGCTTTTACCCTGTGCGCACCCAAAGGGTAGCAGCTGCGGGTTTCCCTTGTCATAAAAAAAAAAAAAACCAGTTTCTTGTTTGTCTTACTATTATTCATTCTTGATTCAACTTTATTACATTAAAATCCAACTCAGTTTCCGATTAGTATATGAAATTTTCCTAGAGACCAACCATTATGCTTTGATCCTTTGAATCCAAAAGAGTGAGAACAGTATGAAAAAGTTGAGGATTGGCGAGGCACAAGTTGCGAGATTCGATAAAGAGGCGTAGATATTACAGAAAATGAAGTGGTAGGAAAAGGTAAATAAGTTAGCTCAAGAATCTCTGATATTTTGACAAATTTAAATTGTTTCTTAGATTCATACTTCTCAAGGAACTATAACCTTGAAAAATAATTGATATTGATCCAATTAGAAGTGAGACACAGAATGTGTTAGATATAATTACGAGCTTACAACTAGATAATTTGGAAAAATTATTTGAATATATACAATAGAGTGATGAAAAACTAGAAGAACTTAGTCGAGAAGTGATTATAGAAAGAACAATCAACAACAAAGAATGAGAATTAGCAATTCAATCTAAGCGACTAATACTTTTTAATTTTAGAATATTCTTCTTATATTTATCATTAAGGCTGTTAGAACTTAGAACTACCACAATTGTTTTAACTCGCGAAGACGAAATCGGCAAAGAAATCATTTGTATCGGACCAAGAATTACAGACAACGTGTAAAGTAATGGGTACCTACAACATGGAGAGTTACGCGTCATAGTGGTGTACCAATTGCCACCTTAAGCCCATCAATGGTTGGATTTTCTACACTCTAGCCCCTGAGAGAATCCATTTCCCTCTCTGCTTCCCTTTCAAAACTTTCATTCCTTGGTTTGAGGCTTGGAATTGGTGGTGGCGTGCATCTTTGGGCATTTCCTTGGAGCCCTTTCTGCTCTTTTAGAGTTTGGAGTGTATATTCAAAAAAATTAGGTGTGTTTGAGTGAATGATCGAACTATAAGAGACCTTGGTCCATAAGGTCCCTTTTTTGATAGCTGAGAAATTCTCGAGAACCATTGATACACGGTTCAAAACTTGGTGGGTAATGTGCCTGCTACTCTACCGTTCTCTTAAATACCATGCTTTTATCTGTGGGCTGGGTTCAAACCCGTGACATGTGCCTAACCCACACATCGTTGTACTCTTACCACTAGACCAAAGCCCTGGAGGCATGGTCCATAATGGTCCCATTTTAGAATCATAAGAGGTATTTATTTAAACAAAGTTGATGTGTTGTTCGACTCTGTGTACGGGAACCAGATTATCAGTTTCTTTTGGTGGATGACAACTCAAGTGCTTTACGCACATTATTTGGTCTTTTGAAGACTTCTCTAACTACGATTTTTTTGTGTCCTTGCAGGATGAGGGTGTGCCTGATTGTATATAAAACAATAAGTTCATCCCTGTTTTTGTTATTGTTCTTTGAGCCTCTTAGCATAGCATTTGAGACGCTACAGGTACAGTACATTAGGAGGGTATATCTTCTATTTTTCTTTGACGCATGATGCTTTTGAATGTTTTTGACCTTTCCAAAAACATGTTAACGATTGCATTTTGTTTGCCAATCCTTCTCTACAGGCTATTCTTGTTCATGGATTTCAGCTGCTTGACATATATATCCATGACTCAGCAAATGATATTTCAAATAGTAGAATATCCAAGCTCTTTGACATATCTGCTGCAGGTAAGTTTTATGCTGGTAAATTTTGCTTTAGGTGGTCTGGTTGATTGAGTAATGAGGTTATGGTGATTTATTGGAGATGCACTGTGGCTTACTGAAGTGGATTTTGTGATCAATGTTCTGCATTCAAGATTTTTGTTTGATTTATCGACCCTTCTTTGAAATGTTCTCACGAGCGGTGTGATCTTTTCCTTAATGAGGTTGATGCTCTTCGTTTTTGTCTGCCGTTCTCTTTTCCATTAGTAGTGAGATATTCTTCTTATATAGCTGTTAAGATGTTCCACATCGGTAGAGGGATGGGAATTTGGTCTCCTTATATGGACTTGGACAAACCTCCTCTCATGAGCTAGCTTTTGGGGTTGAGTTAGGCCCAGGTGCCATATCTTTACATGGTATCAGTGCCAGGCCCATACCAATTTGTTGTTCACCGATAATGGGCCCCCATTTAGAAGTGCTCACGCTCCAGTTGAGGTTTGGGTGTGCGGGGAGTGTTAAGATGTCCCTCATCAGCAGAGGGATGAGAATTTGGTCTCCTTATATGGACTTGGACAAACCTCCCTCATGAGCTAGCTTTTGGGGTTGAGTTAGGTCCAAGTGTCATATCTTTACAATAACTTTACAAAGTTACTTTATTTAAGAAGTCATCTTTCTCTTTGAAGTTTTTAATCAAATACTCCCTAATCATTGCTAATGAAGGATATATGTGCGTGTAAAAAAGACATTAAGGATATATATGTGCATCCTTTATTAATCTTGAGCTTGTCTGAATGTATATCCAGTTGAAAGGATGTGGAAAGAGTTTCCTTTCTGCTTCTGTTCTATGGGTGGTTTCATGCGAAGTCTGTGGTTGAAAACACATCTTAATCGTCTTCCCTGTACCTTGTTCTTGCAGTATTGAAATATATAGGATATTTACTCAAATAAGAAATAATGATTCTCTTTTTGTCTTTAACCATCTCCGATCCTCATCTTATTCCTAAAAACCTCTTACAGGCTCATTTGGGGAATGGAAAGGCGTTCTTATTCGGAATATGGGTTTTCTCCTGGACATGCTGACTCTGTTGATGGCCCTCGCTCATTATGTGCACATTTGGTGGCTTCATGGCATGGCATTTCACCTTGTGGATGCAATTCTTTTCCTAAATATTCGTGTAAATATTTATCTGTATGAATTAATGTAATCTCATAGTTCTTCAAATACCTCAGTTTCCCTCTTCTATCTAATGTTTAGTATATCCATGCACTGTTACTAAACTTTAATTCATTTTGAGCAGGCTTTATTAAGTGCCATTGTAAAACGGGTCAAAGGGTTTATTAAACTGAGAATAGCATTGGGAACTCTTCATGGTGCACTTCCTGATGCAACTTTGGAAGAGCTACGAACTTATGATGATGAATGTGCCATTTGCAGGGTATCTCTCTGCCCCTTTGAGATTCCTTGTTCTTATTCCATTTTCCTTTTTATTCGATTCTTTTTTTCTCTGAATATGTAAGCCTTTGATATGCTGGAAATGACAGGAACCGATGGCAAAGGCGAAAAAACTATCTTGTAATCATCTTTTCCATCTTGCATGCTTGAGATCTTGGTATGGCTTAGTCGTTGCTTGAAATGTTTACTGGGTAGTGCAAATTGCAATCTTAGGAAAAATTCATATAAAAATATTGCAAAATAATTACAGGTTGGATCAAGGCTTAACTGAAAATTATTCATGTCCCACTTGCCGGAAGCCGTTGTTTATAGGAAGAAGCGAGAATGAGGTAAATCCTCAAACCGTAGATGTTCGGGGTGATGAGCTGCTTGCTCGTGAGATGAGTATGGGACTTGATCAGTTGAATCTTCCTGGTCATGCACTTCAAAATGAAGCTTCCCGTAATCAAATGCACAATCCTCTTGAAAGTAGTGATTGGAGGTCTGTTTTCTTGTATCATAGTCGGTGATTGATTCTTACCCATTTGCCACGATTGATTTCAGCTAAACCAGCATCTGCTGTGGAATATTATATTGTGCCTGTTGCTGTTCTATCTAATATTTTGTAGAAGTCTGAAGTGTAAAGAGGATAACTGACAGAAAATATTTGGTAAGAGTGTCAAGAAAAGTCGTTCGAGAAGAAATGAATTCATATAAGATACATAAGAGTGAGATAATGGATATTCAAGAAGGAGCCTTCACAAGTGCGAGAAGCGGTGGTTGATATAAAAGATTTTACCTGAACTGCCTGATTGCTTCAAGGATTTGCTTTGACCCTTTACTTGTGTACTTTAGTTAGGGATGAGCTAGCCAATAAATGCAAGATGAGGTCCCATAGGACAAACCTTTTCAGCAATTTATATTGTCAACTGACGAAATCAGTGAGAGCTGAACAAAAGTTTGTGTTGTGGAGAAGCACCTCAGTAAGTGTTTTAGGATAAGTAGAAATAAACTAAAATACATACACTGCAAGTTTTTTCTTTGAGAATTGTAACTATATATATATAAGAAAACACTTAGGAGAGTGTTAACCATTTTTACTGCAGAAGAATAGATCAAAGTGATCTATTATACCTACAGACTACCTAACATATCTACCAGAGAATCTGTACTCTCTACATTGCTTTCTTTACACAAAATAAATCAAAAGGATACAATTCATCTCAACATTTTGCAATGAATTGTATTTATCTTCAAAAAATCTTGAGTTCCTCTCTTTCCGTATTGACCACCATATGCAAGCAGGGACCAACCTTCACCACTCTTTCTGTCTCACTGTGTCCCCCTTATTGTTCCAAGTTCTTAGCAGATCAGCAGAATTAGCATGCATAGTCTAACTAAGCCCCACCAAGTTAAGGAACAGAATCCACAATTGAGTAGTGAAAGGACAGTGTATAAACAGATGGCTGTTGGACTCTAAAGCTTTCCCACATAAAACACACCTAGAACATAACTGGAAGCCAGGCTTTCTTGAGTAAGGCAAACTTCTCTAGCAAGCAACCAGCCATGAAAAGCTCGCACCCTTGGTAGGAACTTTAGCCTTCCAAATGCACTTCCATAGGCAATTCACAATGGGGTGGATTGTCTGTGAAAGGTTAAGATAAGCAGATTTAACAGTATAAATCCCATTCTTGTTTCTATTCCAGTAAAGAGAATCTTCTTCCTCCTTGAGACCTATGAAAGCAAGTAGCAAAAAGATCATTGATTCTTCCCAGATCCCAATCATTCAACCCTCTCCTGAAGATGATATTCCAGCCATTCAGTCCCCAAGCACTATCTAGTTTGATGTCAGGAAGTGATGCTATAGACAAAAACTCAGGAAATATATCTTTTAGTGGCCCATGACCTACCCATTTATCATGTCAAAATGAAGTCCTCCCATTGCCCACCCTTGTGTATCATCTGAAAAGAATCCCATAGTTGTCTGATAGCTTTCCAGATCCCTGTCACATGAGGGGTGTTGACTGGACTTGTACACCACTGATCTGTCTGGCTGTATTTTTCACCAATGATTATTCTCCACAAGGGATTAAGTTCAGAACTATACCTGCACAACCACTTCATGATTAGGCTTTGATTATGTGCTTTTAAGTTCCTAAAACCTATGCCCCCTTCCTTCTTGCTAAGTAATGAGAGATTCCCAATTAACCAAGTGTGTGTTCCTCTTATCTATGTACGCTGTCATATGAAGTTTCTCCTTAAGTATCAGTTGTATCCCTTACCTTGACTGTTATTGGAAACAATGACATGACATATGTTGGAAGAGAATCCAGTACTGAGTTCACCAGAACCATCCTGCCTCCCAAGGACAAATATTGACTCTTTCATGTTGCTAGCCTTCTTTCACACCTCTCCAAAACCCCACTCCAATTATCTTGTTCTTTATATTTTGATCCCAGAGGTAATCCGAGATATGTAGTTGGCAATTATTATTTATTCCACCTGACACCCTACAATAACAGCTAAAACCTGAATATTATGAACCCCATTGACAGGGTACATACAACTCTTTCTCCAATTCACATGTAGCCCAGATATTGCTTCAAAAACTACTAAGATAAGTCTCAGATATTTTAATTGTTCAGCTTCAGAATCACAAAAAATTAAAGAGTCATCAGTATACAATAAATCTGTAATGGTCAGAGTGTTGGTTTTCTCTATTAGACACAGAGAAGCCCTTCAACCAGGCATTCCTCTTAGCATAGTGAATCATCTGCCCCACTTCCATAGCTATCAGGAACAGAAGGGGGGACAAGGGGTACCCTTGTCAATTCTGGAAAGCACTCCTGGTTTGCCCCCTTTGCCCAAGTGAAACTCCCCCCCGATAAAGGTGGGTCAACCAATTCCCACTCTCCTATAATATTCAAAAGTCCTCTTTATCCTACATGATCAAAATTCCTCCCCTCCCACTGGCCTTCAGCTCCACATGTTACTACAAAGATGTTAACAATTAAGTCACAATTCCCTTCTAACTTGGTCTCTTGAAAGCAGTATATGTCTGCTTTCCATTCCTGCATCAGAGACTGTCACCCCATTTTATCCAAGTTGTTTTGCCCCCTAACATTCCATGATATAGTATGTATTCTCATTGAGAATTATTTTAATTCTCCTTCTGCTCCTTGATCCCTCACTTTAAATTTGATGCCGAACTCCAATTTTTTCACCTCCTTCGAATCTTTGGATTTTGGAGTAGCTGATGCCGATATACTCGTCTCGGTTAACTTCTCTCGTCTATTCCTGGCTAGCTTCATGAGTTGAGTAAAAACCACTCACAACCTTTAAAAATAACTCCGAATTGCTTGCTCAGCTTCATTATGTTTCGATGCACCCATAAATTGGCATCTGATTATGCTATTTGTATCTGCATCTCCAGCGGCACAGCTTCCTCAATTGGCCTTGTTGATTGTCAATTGAGGACACCTCTAAACCATTAGGCCCCTGCCTGTGTAATCAGAGCTGAAAACATGTTCCCCTTCTTCTTGGAACTCCCCCTCCTCCGCCTCCGTGTTCTTCTTGTCTGAAGAATTGAAGCTTGGGAATCGGCAGATTGCCATTGGAGTTGTTGAATGCTCCTGCTCTGTTAGAGTCATCAACATCTGGAATTCTATCGCCATTTTCTCATCATCTAATGTGTCATAAGTGGCAGACGAAATAGAGCCAGCTTCAATAACGACTAATAGAGGGCCTGGACCAATTATCCTCTTCTTTTTAATTGTTATTGGGCTCGGATCCAGGCCCCTCATGGCCTTTTCCTTGTGAATCTAGCGCTTTAGTACTTGAGGAGTCCCCCACGTGCCCCACCAGCAAATTTTGAACATTTGAGCAATCCATTTGCCTCTCCGCCCCCACGTGCCTATCTTCTCCAAACCTTAATATCTTTGACACATGAGACTCATGTGATAGAACAGGTAGGGTTTCGCCGTTGTTATTCATCTTCTCACTTAGCATCAGAGTCCCTTCACTCCAGATCGGCAGGGTAAAATTAACCCATTTTTCTCCAATTCTACTGAGCGTGGAATTATTTCCGGTGGACCTTTCACTTTAATTCTTGCCCATTTCGTATGATTCTTTATAGTGGTCTCCTCTTCTGTTTCAATCCACCCGCTGCACTTCTTGCCAATTTCTACCATAGTCTCCTTCGTCCTAAGGTGTAAAGGAAGACCAATGATTCTGACCCATAACCAATCTGTAATTTTTTCTTCTCTCGTGAAAGTGGCTTCCGGTGACCATCACTTCAGCTTGATGGTTTCCTGCTCCACATCCAGCTTCCTAGCATGACTTGTTCATCCATCTTGGTATTCAGAAATTCGAACAGGAACTGTGTATCATTAAGGTCCTAGATCAGAACTCTGAAAGCTGATTTCCATTGTCTGATACCCATCTTCTCAGTTCAGATATGGTGGGAACAGCCCTTATCCCTGAGAAGCCCATGTCTCATAAAAGTTGATACACTCCTTGTGCTGTTCTAACATGAGGTTCCTTTCTTTCACCAGCCATTTGTTTTTGGCAGTTGCTTGTCTACAAATTTCGGCAATCTTTATAGCTATATCTCCCCACCCTTTGTTAGGAGCCACTTCAGGCACAATAATGACTGATCTCCTCTCCCCTCTTACTGTCACAATGCTAATAATCTGCCAAATAACTCTTGTACTTTTGGGAACTAAAGTAGTTGTGAAGATGGTCTTCAAGTCTCCAGGCTATTGTATCTGTTTCCTGTAGCTTCTGTTGCCAGATGTAATAAATGGCATATCCAAGGGAACACCTTCCTGCTCATTACCATTCTGCGAAGAAGATTCCTCTGCACCAGGAAATATATGGATCTCCCCTCGTTATGTAGTCCCCAACCTAATTTTTAGTCAATCATAATTCATAAAAGAGCAAGGGAAAACACAACTTCTCTGGTGCAAAATCTCCCTGGAATCTGATAAGATACACTGCAAGTTTAACCACTGTATAAAGAATGAGGTTATATTAAGATTTGGTGGGAGTGGTGTGTAACTGCAGACAATTCGCATAACTAGTTACCTCAGCGTTCCTAGAAATCGATATGATAGATGAAATGTAATAAATATTATTAAAATGACATGACATGTAGGAATGATGTGCGAGATATCAACTAAATCGGTAGGTAATTTCTATAGAATGATTGTGAGACTAGCAAGGGTTATATGCAAGTGAATATGGAGCCTATTAGACTACCATATCCATTAGATGAGTTTTAAAAGTGCATATTTTAATGTGGATGTGCAATCATACAAGATTAGACACGATCAAAAGTAATTACATTCAGCAGATAATTGAAAAACAGCACAGATAGTGGATAAAATAGAGAAGAGATGGTCTGACCATGCACTAATTAGTCCTCCAAATGCAACAATTCATAGGAGTGCCACCATGATATCTGAAGGTTACAAGAGGGGCAGGATAAACCTAAAATTGCATGTGAGTTGTTTAAAAAGATCTATAATTTTACGGAATACCTGAGGACCTAGTAAAAGACAATAAAAACAGGAAGCAAAGATCCATATAGGTGATTCAAACTAGTTAACATTATGGCTTAGTTGTATTGCTACCTTTCCTGCTTTTGACACAAGTCTTTTTTCTTTTGATTATGGATTTGTGTGTCGCTATATGGGTAAGTGAAACTTAGAGACCTCTAATTTGGGAGCCCCTAATTTAGAGTGTTAGAATGAAACAAGTTAAGATAGTAGAATTTAAAGAATGTCTAGCTGACCCAACTACTTTGTGATTGAGACATAGTTATTTTAAAGAATATATGCTTGCCCCTTGTTTGTGCAAAAAGTGGAACATCTTTTGTTTTATAACAAGGTTTCTCAGTGCTTGCTATATATTGTTTGTATGATTGCACTTCTGAAACTTTACGCAGGAGGTCCTTGATAAATTCAATCTGTATCACGGATTTTACTCTCCTATAAATGGGCCATTTTCCCTCTCATCCTTTTGATATTCTGTTGCTTCTGTTGTCATCTTTTGCAGTAATTCCTCATCATCTAGAAACATAGAGAGGTCACTAATTTTGCTCTTCCATTTGGTCTACAGGGGTTCAGGAGTTGATTCAGGTTGGTTGGGTTTAGATGGTGCTGGTCCATCTACAGGCATCAGGTCAGCGAGTTTGGGTCGGGTTCAGACAGTGATGAGGCATCTTGCAGCTGTTGGAGAAACGTATGCACAAACTGCTCTGGAAGATGCTGCCTGGAATCTTTGGTCTATGCGTGCCTCCCAGGCTGGTACTTCCAGTTCAGCAATTCCTCCTGCTGGTTCTGTGAGGCACGTTGGAGGTGCTGGAGGGTTGCACTTGAGGACAACCTCACGTGCCACAAACAACAACATTCCAAACATACACACTATGGTTGAAACTGTTAGAGAAGTGCTGCCACACATACCTGATGAAATAATTTTCGAGGTATGGTTACTTAGACTTTTAGAGGCACAATGTTCTTTATTATTTCTCTACAGCCATTTTACTTTTGCTGTTAACTCCAAAAATCAGTAAATGGACTTGCACTTGGAGGGTGTGTGCATCTACAAGTAGAATTAGAATTAATTGTAAAAAGTGAGGGAGATGAAAAAGCGAAATGAATGGTTGGTGTTCTCATAGATAAATGGTAGGGGACGGGCAGAGGCAATGAGCAAATTCATAGTTTTCTGATCTTCGTCCTAATTATTCCCCTTGATATGGTATAGTCATTTAACGTCTTCCCTTTATATCAAGTAAAAGAGGGTGGTAAAAGTTATGTTCTAGTGCTAAGTAGCAATAAGTCCATTTTCGAAGGATTGTTATTTGGGCGGCTGGTGGCAAATTTACACCTAAAATAGATATTACTGTACATTAACTGACCATCTTGGTTGAGATTCCTTGAATCAAAATTTTGCCTTGCTATTTTCATTCCCCATCTCCCACCCCTATCCCCCACTCCTCAACCTAAAAGGAAAAAAAGAAGCTAAAATATCTCGTAATATTAAATATTTAACTCTTCCATCCGGAAGGTTATAAATAGCATAAAAGGGGTCTAAGTTTGCCTTTGCAATGTACTGTCATTTGAAAAATAGTACTAGCAAACAATTGTAGCTAATGATTTAATGAACTAATTAGTTCTAAATTTGCTCAATCCATGAACCACTCATTAGCTGTCTTTGATTTTACATTCCTGTTTCGATGCTTCTTTCAAAATTGCAATTAAAAGTGATAAATTTGAATTTGCAGGATTTACAGAGAACGCACTCGGTAACTGTTACTGTGAATAATCTTCTGCACATGTGATTATACATACCTTTCTTTGCGATACTGTTGTGGTATGTCTTTCACCGTGGCAGATCAAAATTGAAGCTCTGGTTGTGTACAGGAGTGAGGTTTCCAAATATGTTGTGGTGCCAAGCCTGTTACTGCATATTATATCTAATATACATATATTTCACTTTTTTGTACATATAAATAACTTAGGGAACCTGCTGTTAGAGACAAATGCGATAATAATTCCTCTTTCTTTTTTTCTTCCCATGAAATAAATGATCATATTCTTTTGGCACACATAGATATTGCCAATTTACTTTGTTGGACAGTTGTACCAGCACATAACTGGCATTGAGCCATTGAATAATATGTGGTGAAGCCTGTTGAATATGGTATGCTAAATTCAAATTTTTGATTAAGAGAATTTTAGTGGAAGAAAGGCTCCCAAGGAACCGAGTGGGATGCTGATTGAAGTGATTTCGATTATGTTGTTTCATATGAAGATTTGTAAGTTTAGACTAGTAGTCTCATGTTTAATGGAGTATTCGTTATCATGGGTGGAGATACCTTAGGTGAAGGGCAGTATGGTGCACATCCTTCGTCGAAAAATTATGTGATGACATAGGTTAAATTTAGTTATTATGAGTATCTATTTAATTTTGCACACTTTTAATGTAACTGAGAAGAAAATTTACACATTCTTCTCTAAATTTGTGGGGCTGCCATTGAATTTGTTATCCTTATACAAGCGTCACTTTGTTTGGAACCATGCAGTGCTTTCCCTTGGCGCCTATGTAGAGCGATTCCAACGAGTCTTTGTTTAGAATTCCAGGCCAGGGCATCTAATGATAGCACTTTAATGAGCAAGTGGTTCGTAGCTTTTATAAAAAAAAAACTGTTGTTTAGTGTGATGATTCGTTACGTTATCATGCCACTTAGGGCCATGCTTGGAGGACTACATTGAAAGAAGAATAGTCCTTAGTCGAATATTTTAGAGATGTATGGAAAATTTGTTGGAAGATTTTAGAATTTTATGGATTTGCATGGAAGGTTCTTAGAATCTTCTAGTTATGTAGAGAATTCTAGAAAATGATTAATTTGTAAATATGTAGGGATTTGTTTAATAATTATTATTTGCGTATTAGTTCCTAAGTAAGTTTAAATAGAGAGACATCTATTTGTAAAATCATTAAGCAAATCTTCAAAGTCTTAAGCAATACAAAAGCTTTCGTAAGCAATTCTTTTGTCTTTCTTTAATTCAACATTCCCTTAGCAATCTATTCTTAAAAAGAAGCTTACTTGAGCTTGTAGATCATGAAAAAATTGTGAGCGAGTTGTCTAGTATGGCACCAAGTGCTTAGTAAAAGTTTAAGTCCGTGACAGTTTTATAAATCCCGGAAAAGCAAAAAATGTCTGACTCAAATTAACGACCAGGAACTTGTCCACCAGAGCCTTTAACCAAACGTCGTATTGCCAAAAGTTGCTTTTATTTCCTTTCCTCCAAGCATATTGGTTTCTTTTTTTCAAAAAAAATAATAATATATTTTTATTCCCGTTTTGTTTAAAATATCCTAGAAACTTTGGTTAGTAACCTTTGTAAGAAACTCATTTTTTTTTACCCCTTCTGAAGAAAAGGAAAATATTTACAACCAATAAAAAATCCTAGAAAATATGTTTGAGTGGTAAGACATTTAAATCGATATGTTACTATGTTAGTATTACTAGCGTATCCAAACATAAGATTCATTTCGACACCAAATAAACAGACGACAACCTGAGAGGGGTCACATTTCACCTTAAAAGAACCATAGATTTCTTAAGTTAGAACTCCTAATATTTCCAGAAAAATAAAAATTAAACGATTATCATAGTGAACGACATTAAGTTTGAACCGATTGTAGATCAAGATTGTTAGAGATTTGGTCCATGTCCCATCTAATATGCAACTTCTTTTCTTTTCTTTTTTAATTTATCGATATGACAGGAATCAAGCCTTACCCCCACACACCAAAGTAGAGCCGTCAATATGGGCTAGGCCTGTTGGACCAGCCTGGCTTAATCTGGGATTTAATAGGGTTGGGCTAAGATTTTTGGAGCCCATTTAAGAAAAGGGCTTTTTAGCCCGGCCTGAATAAGTCTGTTGATTTGTGGGGCTTGAGAAATATAGGTAGGGCCGGCCCGTGGGCCAAATAAAAATAATTAAAAAAATATAATATAATATTAAAATTTAAAATTAAAGAGAATCCAAACTCAAAATCTATTTAATATTTAACTAATTGAAACCGCATATAAATTGCAGATGAAAATGAAGATGTTAAGACAACCTTGCCACAAGCTGATTCAGATATGCTTGATGAAGGTGATCATGAAGTGTTGGATACGCCATAGATTTCATGATGTGTTGGATACGTCATAAGTTTCATGATTTTTTTAAGGAGTTTATTTTTAACTTTTTTATGGTTGGAATATGGTCACATTTTTTGTGTTTTAATGTGACAAAACAATTAGGTTAATATTTCTATTTATATATTTATACTTTTATTTGAAAAAACCTTAATAAATATTATAAAGATAATTTTATTTGTGAATTTGATTAACAAGTAGTAACATTAACATGATGTAATATTGTTTTGTCGATATTTATGATAATATTTTTAAATTATAATTTATATTTTAATAATTATAAAAAAAATATAATTTTAAAAAAAGTGGGCTAGCCCGGCAAGCCTGTAGCCCACGTACTTGTGGGTTAGGCCGACCATTTTCTGGCCCACACCAAAAATAGGCTAGCCCAACTTGACCCGTAAAATGGGGTGGGCTAGCCCATATTGACAGCTCTACACCAAAGGAATTACAACCAAATAATGACTTACTAAAATGAAATTATTTGCCGTCATTCTAGTATATTGTGCGAGCTTTCATTGATTTTAATCTGACATATGCGATATTAAAGTAAAAGAGTTACTGAATATAAAAAAACAACATTTTAATGAAAATATTCTAAAAAGAAAAAGTAAGACACGTAAGTAAATTAATAGAAAACAAATAATGCAATATATAATTGAAGAAAAAGTGTTAAATTTTTCAATTTAGAGAGGAAAGAAGAGCATATAATAGCAGTCACATGGGTATTCATCCTTTAATGATGTTAACTTCATTTACACTCAAAACATTACTTGGAAACCTTAATCATAATTCCCAGGTGCTCATCACATCTTCATGCCATGCGTATACCTATTTTTGTTATTGACTTAAATTGACTTTGAAAATATATTTTTTGTCCTATAGGATAATACATTGACAAAATTATTTCTATACTCCTTTCTTTCTAAAGTTCCAAAGATTATGGTCAATGAGTAAGGAAAACATATTAAATGAGTATGTTTGTGGAAAAAAAAAATAATTCCTTTTCTTGAAAATGAGCATTATCTCTAGCAGACTAAGACATATCCAAATAACTTGGACACTATAAATGTTTACACTGTATTTATATATATAAAAAATATTGTGACATTTTGAGAATCAACTCTCTCTTAAATTCATTTTTATTCTCTTGGTTACTTTCAAGTTCTTCAGTAATTTTGCAGAATTACTATAGAGAGAAGATATGTTTCTGTAAGTAATGTTCCCATTTATCTCTTTAATCTCATTCCATGGATTCTTGAGAGCATGTTTTTTGCATGCACTAGAAGTAGGCAAGTGGAACCACGGGCGGAGCTAGAGTATTGGTTACGGATTTGGTGAATTCAATAGCTTTGGTTTAAATTTTATATTTGTATTAAGAAATTATGTCTTAAATCGATCCGTTCGTGTTCCCCAAGACTTGCATAAGCTTAAATATGTGAAATTAGCATGTGATTTTCTTAGAATCAGCAATTACTAGTATCATATTGCAAACATGTTACACATGTACGTTCTTATCTTGGACAGTAAAGGCAGAGTCAAGATTCGAACTTTATAATTCTAGTATGAAATTTCACCACAACTCATTTGACTTATTGAGTTTCAAATAAATATATTATTTATACTTACTTAGTGAAAATTTAACGCTTATAACACTCTACATCTCTCCAGCCCTACCGACTAAGTGGTCTAGGGGTGATTGGGGAATATATATATAATTCTGACTAGGGCTAGATTGCTTCTTAGGGTTTTTTCCTTTCCTATGAAGAATGGAAAAGTTTTTACGCAAAGTTATTTCAGCAAATGCAAATGCAATGGGGACAAGTCTTAACTCCAAAGGAACGTAATACTAGTATACTTTTTGCTCATGATGGACCTATATATAAGCCACCAATAGCAATTTTGTTAAATAAGAAATGTGTTTTTGTATTTGCTTTAATAAATGTTTTGTCCATAAAATGCATAAGCCAACTGGTATTTTTACTTGGTTTAATAACATCATGCCTACTGACACTACAGTGAAGAGACATTTAGTGGCTGTGAATTGATACTTTATAGTAGTAACAATTAAGTTAATGATATTGATTTTAAAATTGATAGAAAATTTAGTGACATATTTATTATTGTTGCTAAATACTATAATATAGTGCAAATTATATTATTGCCGCTAATATAAATAATTATCACTAAATTAATCCTTCATTTGTTGTAGTGTTGCTGGCCAGTTCATCCCTTGTTTGTTTTAGATTTTACACGCCCCTTAATTAAGAGTAATGATTAATATAAGTAGTTTATCATAATTTTTATAATAATTGACGTATAGTTTTTAGGTCTTGTGAAATGATTTGAGGAATAAATAATTATTGTTGAAGGTAAAATAAGAAAAAAAAAGAAAAAATTATTTTTGAAATATTAAACATGTAAAGTGAACGGAGTAACCAATAAAAGCAACTCTTTCCTTACATTAATTTCGGATTGTAATATTATTAGTACTCCTAGCTACTGCCACGTGTTTTCCATCCAAAAACAAAATAGAAACTCTTTGTTATTTGATTCTTCATTGTGGTTTTTTTCTTTAAGCATCTGCATTTAAAATTTATGAACCCAATTAATTTGAATTTACATTGAATAAGACTAATTGAAAGAATTATAGGACTATGCTGGTGACAAGTTGCAGCTAATTAAAGTGAAGCAAATACATCTTTCTTTTTTATTAATTAGCCTCTTGCATGCAGTAGCTTTATTAGGACGGATATATGGTCTAAAAGTTTAACTTCTATACCGGCAAAATTAGAATTTTTTGTTATTAAAATTATTAACTATATAATATTTATTAACCTATATAACCAATCCTCCGTTGGCATACATAACTCTTCCCCGTACACTGATGGCGGAGTGTCAGAGTCAAAATATTCAACAAATTAAACGGGATTAATAAATATGCGAAATTTTCAACATCTAGCATTTTCGAACCACTTTTTTCCTTGTCATAGTAAAAGCTTTCTTACATGTGTTATGTGCTCTGCCAGTGTTATACACTGATAATACAAAATAATTTTTTACACTATCAAATCATCGAAAAGATAAATTAGAGTGACAACTCACTATAATTTTGTTTTTTACAATCTTTTTATATAATTTAATTCCTAGAAATTGAAAAGGAGAGTAGATATTATAATTATTAGTACTCGAATATCACTTACAGTATATATATATATATATATATATATATTTTGAATATCACTTAATAAAATTTAAACATATTATGGAAATAATCGTTTGGTTATACTACATAAACAAAGCAAATGGCTATGACAATAACAAATATATATAGCCATATGCTTTACACAAATAATGCTGCAAATTACAACTCCATGCAGCATCATCCAGCTGCAATCTCTATGAGTTAATCATGATCGTCGGTAGATCTTAAGTTAAATACAATTAGAAAATGCCGAACAATTTCTATACATTTATAATAATGTACACATATATTTATATATATCTTCAGATATTTTTTCAATCAAGAAGGTATAATGTACGTACTTAATTCATCCTATGATAATATTTTTGAGCAGTAACTTATTATTATTATTATTATTATTAGGTGGATTTTCACTTTCATTTCCACAAATCAATTTGAGAACTTGAAGATGCTGTGGAGGTATTTTCCGGGGCCATTTCTTGCTTGTTCAAATTCACCTCATCATCGCGCTTAGCCTGAAATGTGTTTGGTACTGCATTTGACGAATAGTTATTATTTTCATCTTCTTGGCTAAGTTGAGAAGCTACAAATTTATCGAGTACTCGCCAATCAGTCACTTGATCTGCAACTTGCTGGCTGTCATTATTATTCCCAAATGTAGGATGAACATGTTGATCTTGTGTGAGCAATGCTGGTCGATTAACGTTAATATTGCCAAATATAGGCATTGAGCTACAACCAGGAGGTGCAGCTACAAGTTTAGTTGTTTCTAAAAGAGGAAGTTGATGAAGAAATTGGTGATTTTGAGGTGGGATTTGGTAGTGCAAATTATCAAATTCTTTTTTGCAATTAGGGTAATTATTGGGATAGTGGTTAATGTAATTAATTTGAGGATGTATTGGCTTAGGGGAATCCATGTCTTGCATGAATGAAAGTTGATCATCGTACCAAATTGGTGAACCATGTTCACTAGTATCCATTCTCATGCCAGCTGCTATTTTCTTCTTGAATACTCTACATATAACCCATCCTTCTTCCTGTATTTGTCCAAAAATATTAATGAGTGAATCTATATAATATAATGAAGCATGATAATATTTTATAAAAGTGCATATTAATTTGATCAAGAAGTTTGTTCCGCAAAAGTCTAGGCATTTGGACAATATTTGGTCAACAACAATAGCTTACTCAGTGAAATTCCACAAATGAAATCTGAGGAGGGTAAAATATTTGGTCGTGTTGTTTCCAAATTGGACAATATTGGGTCGAGTTGAAAGAATGTACTACTATTTGCAATTAAAGGTAAAACAAAACAAAAAAAATAAAATAGTGTGGAACTTTCAAATTGTGTATGGACATGAACTTCACTTGATTTTTTTTTTTGAAGATTTGTCTATGGGAACCATTATTTTACTTGAAATACTCATCATAGTACTATTTCTATAAACCAATATTAATTTGCAAATATTGAATTTCGATATTTGGAAATATACTAAGATATCATTTATGGCCAAACAGGAAAAAAAATAATAAAAAGATGCAATTTCGTCCCTCATAGATTTAGTTTCCAATTCTCAAGCATTGCCAAGTCAAACTACGTCACATAAATTGGGACAAAAGAAGTAATATATTTAACTTGGTTGCATCAAATAATAATATATGTTGTGAATTTATGGAAAACTTGCCTGAGGAGCACCATTTGGATCAGTCTCAAGTCTGTATTCATGCATAATAAAATCAGATTTTTGTCCATTTGGAGCCCTCCCTTTATAATACACCAAAGTCTTCCTCATCCCAATTAAATCATGCTTTGAATATATAGCCTTGTCCCTTCCTGTTGCCTTCCAAAATCCTGCTGCTGTTGCTCTATTTGTTCTTGTTCCTGTTGGATATTTCTTGTCTTTGTGGCTAAAAAAGTACCAATCACTTTGTTCTTCTGTCCCCATTCTACATAATTCTATACAAAAAATAAAATAAAATAAATATATATATATTGTGAAACAACTTTTAGACTACCAAATTTTTAAAAATGTAGGTTTATACGAGTTCATAAGTAATCTGAAGATTAATATGCTAAAATATTCCGATAGTGTAGACTGTCAGAGTATATAAAGACGTTTTTAATTATAAGTACCTTGAAGATCCCATGGCTCGATTTTGTAGAGATCGATGTCTTTAATAACATCGAGGTCAATCCTTCTAGAGGTGATTTTCTTTCTAAGGTAATAATCCACAAGTTCTTCATCTGTTGGGTGAAATCGAAAACCTGGAGGAACGTGTGACAAGGAATTCATCTTCTCTGATCAATCAAATGTACTACTATAACCACCTGCATATTCGTATATCAACATTTAATCTTAGATCAAAATGTTTATATTATTGCCAACATTATTATATCAAAATGCTTCATCTATTTAGTTTAATTACTATGTACTTCTTTGTAATTTTCTTGTATATCATGAGATTGCAATGAATAAAGAATAAGTCGATTTATAGTTGAACTTGAATATTGATCATGGAGAAAGAATTAGCCAAATAAATTCGATTAATTCTAGCAATTTTTATATTAATAACATCCAAATGAAGAGGACAACAAGTTAATGATGATAAATAAAAATGAGAAAGCCGCCACAAAAAAAGAAAGGAAAAATTACATAGTAATTCGAAATGCAATGTATATATAAAAACTCCTACAAATATATTTGACACAAGGAGTGCGTGGATCTAATATAGTCCTTTTTGATAATTAAAATTGAGTCCACTCTTGCCTTATACGATAAGCATAATCTAATCGATGCTTCTACTTTTATGTAATGAATGATACAATAATATCTCCATTCATGAATTTAAATTTTAAGTAGCGGTTTACCACGTTGTATAGGCATTTCGTTTCACATGTTTAATATTATTCAATTATTTTCTTGGTTAATTAAATAAACAGGTTAGGGAAAAGAATAACAAAATTAAATCATTGTTAAAATGGTACTATAAAGAGGGGGTTGTGAAATTCCTGAAGGAAAATAGTATGATCAATATTATTTTTAGCAAAAAGTAAGAACAAAATAAGATCTTCAGTGATCCATTTATATATTTGTTTGGTTAATTATGTTAATAGGTTATGAAAAAGAATTCGAAAAAAACAAGAACTAGTGACTTCTATTTAAAGATTTACAAGTAGTAATTTGAAGAACAACAAAGAATACTTTTCCTAGAGCACATATATTAGTAGAACAAATGAGTTCATTAACAAAAAAAAAACCCATAATTAGGACATTTAAACACACACACACCCACACAACTAAGACATATAGTGTGAGTTTAACACAAAATATGTGAATTTAATTCAAATGTCCACTTCTTTCAAGTCCAGATACATTTTAGAATAAAGTCAAACAAGAGACTTTCTTTGGGAACAAATTTCACTAGAATATCATCATGATATATAGGATGGATTAACATTTACAATCCAAGATGGACATAGCCTTTTGGTTATAGGATCATCTAAATTTAGAAGGTATGATAACATATTGTTATATCCAGTGAAATCTTATTAAGGTCTAGAGAGAGTAAAGTGTACTTAGACCTTACCACGAGTTTATATCTGATCAAAAGGTATGATATAAAGTGTAAATATATACATTAAAACATACTTAAATTTCAATACATGTTAGATCTGAATTCATACTTTTGAGAATACAACATGAATGAATCTCATATTGAATTTAAATTTTGTAAAAGAACCTTATTAGATGAAATTACAAACCTTAATTTCAAAATGAGCAGATCTGAGTAGAGTCAATATGTGGACTCAAAGTAACAAACAAATCAAGAGGAAATTGCTCGTATGATAAACAACGATCTCCGAAAGAAGAAATTTGAAAGGGTCAACAACATAAAGACAAAGCTTTATCCTCGGGAATTGGAACTTCCAGTGAGGATTTGGCTATCTTTTTGGACCAAATCCCGAGGACAGAGTAATAAAACTGAAGAAGGAAAGAAAAAAAGGGACAGAGAGAATGGAAGAAGGATGAAGAAATAGGGTTATATAAAGGCAGGCCCCCACCAAACAAATAAACCCTAATGATGAAGGATCTGTTTATTAAACTTAATAATAGGCAACAACACTACTTTTAATTAAAATTTATTTTATGTATATATTCCATCATCATATATATGCTTTAATTGTATGAGCATCATAATCATAATAGTATGAGCAGAATTGCTGGAAAAGCTTTAGATAAAAGGTGGCGCAAAATTGGTAGAAATAGAAATAAAGACAAAGACAGAAGCATTCTGTAGGCAACTGCCACCCGCCATTGATAGAGACCTCCAAGTTAATTCTCTAGCTAGCTACTTTTATCTTTGTTTTTGTTTTTAGTTATCTATTACACATGACTCACTGATATTGAAGAGAATTTCTTTCAATTCTTTATGTAAATCTTATTACAAAAGAAAATTATATAACAAAGAAATGAGGGTAAACGGTAACGGCGCGGACCAATATTCACACCTTATAAATTACATTAATTAAGTAGCCAAAGGGGTACTATATATTCACCCATGTTTTATAAGGCGGGACGTTTTACTTAGTACAGTCAGATTCATAGAACTAAGTCCCACACATGAACCTTGAGGTATTTTATTAGTGTCCAACTCTGGAGCGAGTTCCAAAACTGTCTTTTAAAATAGTTCTTCCTCTGTCTTTAATTACTTGTCTACTTTTGAATTGACACACTTATTAAGAAATCAATGATTGACATAGTGAGTTTATCATTTTACCCCTATTAATTATGAAGTGGATGAATTAAAAACTTAAGATTTTCAAGAAGTTCTACTTTTTCAAAGTAATTAATTGAGGGTATAATAGGTAAAAATATATTTGTCTTTTCTTGATTTGTCAAAATTGACAAATAATTAGGGACAAATAAAAAAAGAAAAGTTGACAAATAATTAGGGACAGAGGGAGTATTGGTTTCCACTAAAATGATACTCCCTCTATTTTATATTAACTGAATTTGTGAGGCAATACACGCATATTAAGAAAAACATTGAAGGACATAATTTAAATCATAATTTCCACTATTGTCCTTTGCGAAATCATAAATATAGTTTTGTAAGTAGTGTAATTTATCTACTAGAAAATATAAAACTTCAATAAATAAAAGAACAAATATGGAAAAAATTCAAATATCCATCTTGAACTTTGAATAATTCAATTATTTTGAACAATGAAAAAAAGTTCAAAAATTCAATTAATATGAAATAGAGGGAGTATATAGAAAATATTTTTTTTTAAAATAAAAAAAAAGGAGAAAAGGGAGTACATATAGCAGCTAAAGTAATTGAGTTTAAAATCTGTTGGTTCATTAGAAGAATATTTATAAATAATTATTTTAAAGATAATATGTTAAGAGCTATAACAAGTAAAGATGATACTCCCTCCGTTTCACAAAAAGTGACATGGTTTGACTTAGAACAAAGTTTTAGAAAATAAAGAAGATTTTTGAATCTTGTGGTCTTAAATTAAAGTTATGTCAAATGTACTAAATTACCCTTCAATCTTGTGGCTTTAAACATACCACGTGAAAAGCTGAAATTAAAATGTTACCAAAAAAGGAAAGAAGTCATTCTTTTTTAAACAGACTAAAAAGGAAAGAAGATCATTCTTTTTGAAACGGATGGACTACGGTGTAAAATTTTTTTACACGAACAGTGTATGTGACTTAATTAATTCTTTACACATTCATTTCGCTTATAATTAAAGTAAATTTCTATGATACACACTAATTAGTGGATTAAGTTATATATATTGGCAATATAATTTTTGTTTACAATAACATAGTTTAACGTGTCAACATCCAAATCAAGTTACGAATGAGTACTATTATATTTATCTTAAAATTTATATGTAATTACATTATAAATTACTACTAATATTTTTCGAATTGTTGATACATGGAACAAAGAATTTTAATCAATAACCTAATAAAAATAATAACTAACTCACTGTTGTTAATTAAGTAACCTAATAAAAATAATAACTAACTTACTGTAGTTGGTTAAACTACACTATCAATGTATGAATAAAAAAAAGTTTTACATTTGTTTTCATTTTATGTAACTGAAATCCAAAATGAATATACTATAAAATCTTTTTAGTATTATTTTATTGCTGGTGACGCAAATGGAACATTGTCCACGAAGGAATTTAAGGATTTTGGTCCTTTGCTTGTCTTAAAGAGGTAAGAATTGCTCAACAATTAATATTCTTTAATTTGTCCTAGTCCCTACCTTTTCTTTCCCATGTCTCAAATTTCATTTTAGCTACTTGGGACCAACAAACCAGAGATTCACAGAAATTATTTTTAAAAATCGTTTGTACGAAAATGATCAAAAAATTTATAAACTTCGTAAGAAAATATATCGAGTAATTTATTTTAAAAAAATTTAAGATCTGTATTTAATTTTTACTTTAAGACACTAACGTGCTAAAGCCACCCCAACTTAGTAGGAGTACATTTGCTAGCTATCTACTTTGAGAAAATTAAAGGAGAGGTAATAAACTCATGCAACTTCGAGTCATGCCAATGTTAGGTTGATCAGACTATAATGATGATAATCTTTGCAAGAAAGAAGTAAAAAAGAGGAAGAAAGAAATTATTAAGAACAAAAACATCAGTAAATAATACTCCCTCTGTTCTAATTTACGTGACATTTTTCGTTTCTTCGAGAGTCAACTAATTTAAGTTTGACTAACAATTTGTGTATGAAATTTTCAATTCTTTGAAATAAAGTTTATATATTACATTTTTTGTTTCTTCGAGAGTCAACCAATCTAAGTTTGACTAATAATTTGTGTATGAAATTTTCAATTCTTTGAAATAAAGTTTATATATTTGTAAACTACATAAAAAGTACTATAAGATAAGATATATGAAATATTTACGGTCAAAGATAAACTTATTTGAATCTAGCTCGAAATCTGAAATGTGTCACATAAATTGAGACAGGGAATAGTTGAGTTAGAAATATATGTGGCTGTGTCCCAACATGATTGAAGAGGAGCAACCAGCTTACCCGTGAGCAATACGTTTCCAAGCACCACCACCGACTCTCATCATTATACAGCGTTTATATGTTGCCTATTAATAATTGTATACTTATTAAAAGTTTGATATTGATTCGATCGAACTCAATAATTTTTTTTTATAATTAAATTTATAATTCAGTTATAATTAATATTTGAAATTATCATTATAAAATTCAAAATCTATAAAATTAAAATTTTAATTTCGTCTCCGCAATGATGGCAACATTGTTAAATGGTAGACTATTGTTCAGTCACTTCGCCCCTCTTAGCTGAGCCATACTAATGGTAGTTCATTCTTATTATAAGAACTTAAAAGTGGATATAATTATTGATATAATCATTCTACGTAACTGTTTGTAATAAATTTTAAAAGTGAAGGAAAATAAATTACTATTACAAATAAAATATGAAAAAACATAATTTTTTCATCAAGATTGTGGATAAAATTCTGTTGATCCCTTGATTCTACTCTCATAAGATATTTATCCATAATTCGGTGGCCGTTTGTGGTGTATTTTTTGATTTTGGATGATTTGGACTTGATCTACATAATTTGAGAGTCGTTAGTGGCATATTTCTCAAACTAAGATGATTTGGACTTGATCTACATAATTCGAGGGCCGTTAGTGGCGTATTTCTCAAATTAAGATTATTTGGATTTGATCTCTTTATGAATATTTCATGAGTTTGTGGAATATTTGAGATGTTCGAGATGTCTTTTAAGGGAATTTAGTACCATTTATATAGGCATGAACTAGGGTTTAGGATTGAGTAGGCTCCAAGACATGTAATTGAAACTGAACACACCTTCTAGAGTCCCAATTCGAATTGAACATGTCTTGTAGAGTCCCACAAAATTTCAATGTCTACAATAACTAATGTAATTAATTTAGAAAATAATCGAGATTTACCTTATAGAAAGAAAAATAATATGCACGTCTTGTTGGATTTTAAAACGTAGTTTCCTAAAAGCTATTTGTTCAAAAAATTCTTGTGCAAAAATACGAGTAGAATTTCCAACGATTTGTCCCTTCAAAATATATACAAGATATGTCATAAATTGAATTATTATTAGATAAAATATAAAATTAACTACAAAATTTATCAGTAATCTCTAACTACAAAGTCAATTATTGTTTCAATTACAAAGTCACTCAAACAATATAAGATATAATTTTCAATATAGTGATTTTACTTCTTCCTCGTTAATTATAAATTGTGTACTAATTAAATTTGATTCGAATGATCCTATCTAGAGTGATCATTTAGTTTATGTTATATATCCAACCACACACAGGTACATAATCGCTTAAGTAATATAATAATAAAAGTGAAATGCGATACTCACATGGACTTATCGTTAGCTTCTACTATTCACACTGAAATTCCTCATTGATCAAGTGATTTATCAAGAGTTTTGAATGTTTTGTTTGCTGGTGTTTTCAAAGGTATTTTCGGGGCGAGTTTCAGGGTGGAGTGTATCAAAAATATTTTGGGTGTAAATAAATGGCGTAGATTGATAGAGTGTTAAGTTCTAAATTGGCGTAAAAGTGCAAGCTTTGTTAATTTTGATTTTTATTATTTTAAAAGTATATTTTGTATAAATCATGATGTAATAATATTTATACTATATGCTATCATGTAATAGTGTTTTTTTTCTAAAATATATTAATAAATATAGTAATTTTTATAATATGAAATAGACACTATTCGAGCAAGCA